AAAAATTATATATATATATATATATATATATATATATATATGTATATATATATATGTATGTATGGTGGACGGTGCGTAGGGAAAATCCTTAGAAAGTATAATTTACTATTTACATCATCTCAATGGTCCTTTTTTTAGTGATCGCATCTTCACATCGCTTATTAAATAAAAAAAAAAAATAAAAAACAAGAACATAAAACAAAAATAAGGATAGGTGCAAGTGAGAGAATGAAGAAAAAATACAAAAGGGAAATAAACAAAAATAAAAGGAAATTAACACTGAATCATGTAATAATAAATACTTAACGCGTCACTCTCTTCTATATCCGTTCATTTATCTCATTATATATACATACACGTGTTGTACTTCCTCTCTCTAAAATATATTTACGTAATAAAATGAAAAATTAGAAAAAAAAAAAAACAAAATAAGAAATGAAATAAAATTATGTATATATATATATATTGTTAAATTATTTTTTCTTGATAGTAATTTAGAAAGCAATTTTCATTATTCGAAGCATGTGTGTATGTATGTTTTCTTTAGTGTTATTCATTTGTATTTTATTTTTTTTTTGGTTTTATTTTTTTTTTTTTTAATTATTATTTGTAAGGCGCAATATTAAATATAAATACATTAGGAGTTGGAGAAAAAAGTCCTAGAGGGTGATGTGAGATTTTAAAAATAAATTATTCCTTTCTGAGATATATTTTTTTGTTTAATCTTGTAACTAATAGAACAATTTAGTTTTGCAAATTAAATTTAGTATAGTTTTATAATTTGAAAATATTTCTTTATTTTATTTTCAATTAAATTAAAAAATACTTATTCAAAAAAGATTAATTAATTTTTAAAGATCACGTAGAAACTTTTCATTCATATAAACATTTCTTTTAATCTATGAAAATTTTTCAAAGTTCGATGAAATTATTTGGTTTTTTAATAATTGATTAATTTTTAATTATTATAGATATTAATACTCCCTTATATAACTCGAAAACTGAATCGATTTTTCCTTAATGGAAAAAGCACAAATAAATTAAGAAAATGAAAAAAAAGAAAGGAATGCCGGTACATTTGAAAAAATTAGTCACTAATGTTCAATAATAATAATAATAATAATAATAATAATAGTAATAATAATAATAATAATAATAATAATATTAATAATAATAATAATAATAATAACAACAAAGCAGCATGTTTCTCCTGCGCTTATTTTCTTAATAAAATTTCAACTTTTTTTTTTTCTAAATAAATAAGTCAATCGTGTGATTAGAAAATTGCACACAATTATAATTTACAATTGATAAATTAAATACCGGAATAATGAATGAATAATGGATAAATAAAAAAAAAAATATAGTAAATAATATTTTTTTTTGTCGAGAGTAAGGTTCCTTAACCATTACACACATACATACGCGCACACACACACACACACACGCATACACACATATTTATATATATGCATACAGCTACATCATCAACGAGAGTTATGTATTATTATTATTAAAGTATCGTCTTCTCACTTAATCCAAAAATAGAGATAGGCATCTTTTAAGAACAACGCTTTTAATAGGAATGTCTTGTTAACAAAAATTCTTCCCGAAAAAACACACAAACAAAAAATGAAAAGCGATATCGTGGAAATTGTGTGTCACGATTTAGCACCATATTCAGCCTAGCCGTTTCACGAAAAAATAACATTAGAAATAGAAATACGTTAGAATAAATACAAACATATATATTATTATTTCGAGAGTATTATCTTTTTAATGAAAGAAATACTCTATCATCTCGTAATTTTTCTTACATATATATATATATATGTATGTTTTATAGTCTAATTCTCGCTCGAACGTATTTCATATGAAATAATAGTAGGAAAAATGTATTTGTTCATTGTGGCAATAGTTATTAATTAAATAATTCATTTCTGATTCAGGGCCGTATATCTTCGCGAAAAGAAAAGAACGATGCGAAACGTAAAAGAACAGACGTCATTTTAGAAAAATTATTAAGCTTAAATAATGACGATGACGATGATGATGACGACCATAATGATGACCTAGATGATGGTTGTTTTTTTTTGGACGATTCTGTTATTCGTTTTTGTCGAGTTTCGTTAATTAAACAACGACAAGAAGAAGAACAACAATTGATAATATTGTCCGAATTTGGATCTTTTAGTTGTAGTTGTTGATGATTGTTAACAACGTATCGGCAGTAAATCTTTCTTGATTTATCATTAGAAATCTTTTTCTTCTTTTGCCGACACGAATTTGATCTTGGCTATTGACTCGAACGTTTGCACTCGCTTATTGATGCCATTCTCGTCGTTTCCATTGTTTCTACTCGGTTCCATTCAGGCATTTTTGTTTGCTCTATCGTTGCCTATAAAACAAATTTATATAATTAATTTAATATTATTTTATTATTATTATTATTATATTTTTTTTATTTTTATTTATATTTATATTATATTTATATTATTTTTATATAATATATCTATTTTTTACTATTATTATATTATAAATTTATTTTAATTTTATATTATTAATTTAACATAATTAATTTATTAATTAATATATATATTTAAATAATAATATAAATATTAATAAATAATAAAATTAATTAATAATATAAATATATATATTTAATTTAAAATTAACATTTGTGAAAACTTATATATATATATATATATATATATATATACATACATACATACAACAAATATAATACAAAAAATATATATAATTATTTATTGTGCATGGTGTAATATATTATTATCTATTGTTATCGTATATATTATTATTATGTCGATTATTTCAAATGAAATAAACAATATAATTGTAAAGTTTATTTAGAGAATATTAATAGTAATGATATTATAATTTATTTGATAAATCTTATATACATTTTTGTTATATTTATTTTAAATTTATATATTATTAATAACACAATATAATTTATATTTAAATTTATATATTATTAACACTAGATATACCGCCATTTTCAGTATACTTATTTCTACCACACTAGTCAAAATGTCTGGTGTATAAAAAAAACATGCTTTTTGAGGCTTCCAGTCTTTATTTACTCTTAAAAAATAACAAAATACGTTTAACAAATGAACTTATAGATATTTTTAAATAACAAAATGCTTAATTATTTACAGAAATTAAATGTTACATGAAGTAGAAATTTTGAATTAAAATAATCAGACCAGTCAAAATGATTGGCCTGGTATATCTAGTGTTAATAAATAATATACAAGTAAATGTTGAAAAATAAAATAAGATAAGATTATAATAAGTAATAAAATAGACTTAATAATGTTTACCGAGTTATTGGGAGGATTCTTAGCCATGTAGATCATAAGGGAGCGGCCTTGGTTGCTAAACGGCCTCCGCTCCGGATCTCGACCGGGTCCATCCACCGTGTCGAAGCAGTTACTACTGATGGCATATAAAGAAAGAAGGAAACATTAAATATTTACTACAATATGCCTTTAATAAAATATAGGGATTAATGTGCTATGTTGAAGATTTCATTTTATATATATATATACGTTACCTTTAAAGTATTGATTAGAAAAATACAGTTAATTTACGAAAAGCTTAAATATTACACAAAATAACTAGACATTTTATGGAAAGTATAGAAAAAGAATTTTATTGTATCCTTAAACTCGTTTTTTTTTTTTTTACAGAAACAACTAGGTAAAATATGAATTCACAAGATACGAATAGTTAAAGTATGAAATTGAGATTTGATCTATATTTAAAATTAGATTTTATTTAATACATATAATATATTATTTATATATTTTATATATTTTTATATTATATTATATGTATTTGTACTTTAAAAATCAATGTTTTGTTAATTGTGCTGTTCAATCAGATGCAATCTACTGTTCAAATTTTAATTTTAGATTTATTCGCTTCTCATGAATTCTTATATTACTTATTGTTAATTAAAGCATGTAATGTTGCCTTCTTTCATACTTTATTAGATCAGTATAGTTATTTCACGATTTATCTGATTATTTAATGAATTTATGGATTAGACGTTTTAACGGTAACATATGTATATATAAAATTTTGTTACTGTTACTACTATTTGTATCTTACTGTATCTTACCTTGTTCGCAGTTCCTTCTGCTTTTTCTTACAATGGATGTAAGCTGCTATGCAAATGATTACGACAAGAAAGACTGCTATCGTCGCACCACTTGCGATACTTGCTGTCTCCAACATTACACGTTGACGAGAAGCTGCAATTATTAATTTTATTTTTTTCTTCTTTTTATTTCTATGTCAACAATTATTTTATATGAGTTACATTTAAACAAAAAATATATATCACACAAGTTAAATGACTAAAAGTGTTTTTTTAATGTTATTTTCAAAATTACTTGTATTGATCTTTTATTCTTGGATATTAATGTTCATTTTGATTTTGTTTAATTGTACAATTGCAAAACTTTAAAAATTTTTGATTCATTCTATGTAACAACTGATATAAAATCACATTTGTTAAACATTAACTTGAATAAATTTTCTTAAAAATATTATTTAATAATGAAACGACTGATCTAATAATATTATGAGAATTTTATATGAGATTATATATAAAAGTGTCTTTGAATTATCATAAGAAAGATATATCATATGATCTGATGATATGTATGTATGAGTATGAGAGAAAAAAGATAAAAGAATTAACTTACGTAAATAGGAACCATCTAAGTCTTTAAATTCGCATCTCTGCCCGATATAACCATTAGCACATCTATAAAAAAAATAAGATAAAAAATACAAATTAATTAAAATGAATAAATAAAAGAATTAAAGTTTAATATATTTATATTAAATATTTATGTTTAATATTTAAATTTATTTTAATATTTAATTTTATTAATTATATTTAATATAAAATATTATTAAAGCATTATTATATAATAAAATATAATATAGCATTATATATATTTATATTATTTATATTAATTATATTATATTATATAATATTAAATAAAATTTATATTATTTATATTAAATAAAAAATAATATATGTAAAAATAAATATATTAAATAAAGTTTAATTTATATATGACTAGGGGTGCCCCGCCACGCGTTGCTGTGGCTCACAATCAGTCAGATACACACGTCTTTAAGCCAATGAATTACCTTATACCGCCATCTGTTAGAATCTTATCGAACTAACAGAGATAATCATGACTCTTTGTTAATAAACAAATAATTCGTAATATAATAATATTGCGATTATAAATTGAGATATAAACTATCCTATCTTTCAAGTTGGATGAAACTGCACACAGTGTGAAAAATTTTATTAAAATCGGTTCAGTAGTTTAGGAGTCCATTGCGGACAAACAACGTGAAACACGTAATTTATATATATTAAGAAGAAGAAGATAAATATTATTTAATATAAGATAAAAATATATATAAAGGACAATAAAACGATATAAAAATAAATGAATAAAACAAAATGAAAAATAATCCATTTTTCAAATATTAAATATTGCCTCTTTATCTTGATAAAAATTTAAAATTGAAAGATATAAATAATGAATTACGTAAAAGTTCATATAATTTCAAACCGATTAACTAACAATAAGAACGATAAGATTGTTTTAATATTGATCATTTTAAACGAAAATAAAACAAAACAAAACAAAATAAGAAAAGTTTATAAAGGCGGGTAATTAAAGGTAGTTAATTAAAAGGATTCTCACACGAGGTGGATCTTAACGAGCGCACAAGAATCTCTTTTTTTTTTTTTTAATTTAACCTTCGTTTCCTCCTTGCGGCGTTTCGCGAATAATTAAGAGAGTTAAAAGCAAAGAAAGAGAAAGAGAAAGAGTTCGTGTCCGTTCAGTACTATTCCGGATTCCATCGCTTCCTTGATCAGATTTCGATGCTCGATCGCCTTTTGCAAGAACTTTATTTCTCAAGTAGAGCGGCAAGAACAAAGAGAGAAAAAGGGAGGAAAGACAGACAGAAAATGGACAAAAAAAAAAAACAGAAAAATAATAAAAGAGAAAAAAAGGGAATGAGATGGGCGCCAGTAAATAAAAAAGAAAAATTAACTGATAAAAAAAGTGAGAAAAGAAGAAAGAGAAAGAGATGCAACGACTATGAAAAGAACATAAAAAGAGTGAGAGAGAGAGAGAAAGAGAGAAATAGATCAATAAAAAGAGACAGATTGATAGACAGAGAGATTGGATTCGTTAGAAGGGGGAAAAAAAATAGAAGAAATTGGAGGATCTTTCTTTGTCGAGCATTGATGTCACCGAAAAAATATTTCGTCCTATTTTGTATCCCGCCAAGAATCCGTGCTATCCGTGTCTTTCCTTCGATTTTCTTTAGAAACGTTTAACACGTCTCTCAGGCAGGCCGCGCGGTAAATGGCGAAAGGGGAATAAGGTTAAAACGTGAGTATAAAAGAAAAAGAAAAATAAAGAGAAAAATAAAAAAATAAAAATAAAAATACAAAAAAGAAGAAGAAGAAGAAGAAAAAAAGATAGAGAGATAAAGAAAAAAAAAAAGATTGTACGGATTTACGTGCACATGTTAGACACGCAGAGACTCACATGTCTGGAATTTCGGTAGTTCGTGCCAAAGGAAAGGTAGCAAGGATTAAGGTTCAGAGTTAGGTTTCGCGGCCTCCTTTTCAACATTTTCCTTTTCTGGATACAATCAGGATCTATTGCTTTATGCCTATTCTTATTACTATTCTACTAATATTATATTCCTATTGCTACTACTACTTTTATATCAACAATAATCGGGGTATAACTTCTCACTGTAAATTTAACAAAAAGGGAGAACACCAAAGACGAATTCCTTTCCTCTTAACTCGAATAGAAAAAAAAAAATAACGTTATTATGCTACCTCTTTTTTTTTTTTTTTTTTTTT